TGTGGAAAATTTGAGAGACTGTTGCAGACCAGAGAAATACATGACGATTAGATGTCATGTGGCATCCTAGGTGGGATCCTGGAACAGTGAAGGCACATTAGGAGAAAGCAAGTGAAAGACTGAAGTGTGCAGTTTAGTTAATAGAATTAACATAACCTCATTTTATCATGCTTTGCTTTATTGTGCTTCAAATATACTGCATTTTTTACAAATTGAAGGTTTGTGGCAACCTTGCAGTGAGCAAGTCTATCAGCGCCATTTTTCCAACAACACATGCTCACTTCATGTCTCTGCATCACATTTTGATAGTTCTTGCAAAATGTCTTCATATTTATTTACTTACTTTTTTCTTTTTTTTTTTTGAAACGGGTCTTACTCTGTCACCTATGGGGCTGAATGCAGTAGTGTGATCACAGCTCACTGCAGCCTCAACCTCCCAGGCTCAAGAGATCTTCCCATCTCAGCCTCCTGAGTAGCTACTCAGGAGTCATCATGTCTGGCTAATTTTCTTTTAGTATTTTGTAGAGACAGGGTCTTGCTATGTTGCCCAGACTGGTCTCAAATTCCTGGACTCAAGCAATCCTCCCGCCTTGGCCTCCCAAAGTGCCAGGATTACAGGCCACCATGCCCAGCCAATTCTTGCAATATTTCAAGCATTTTATTGTTATATCTGTATAGTGATCTCTAATCAGTGATCTTTTTGTGTGTGTGTGTCAGAGTCTCACTCTGTCACCCAGGCTGGAGTGCAATGCTGCGATCTCGGCTCACTGCAACCTCTGCCTTCCGGGTTCAAGCGATTCTCCTGCCTCAGCCTCCTGAGTAGCTGAGATTGCAGGCACCTGCCATCATGCCCAGTCAATTTTTGTATTTTTGTAGAGATGGGGTTTCACCATGTTGGCCAGGCTGGTCTTGAACTCCTGACCTCAGGTGATATGCCCACCTCAGCCTCCCAAAGTGCTGGGATTACAGGCGTGAGCCACCGCACCTGGTTGAATCAGTGATCTTGGATGTCACGTTGTCACGAGCAAGAAGATTATGACTCATTAAAGGCTCAGATGATGTGTTAGCATTTTTTTGTGATACAGTTATAAGATTAAGATACGTACATTTAACACATGTTATTGCACATTTGATAGACCATGGTATAATGTAAACATAACATTTATAAGCACGGGGAAACCAAAAAATTCATGCAACTCACTTTATTGCAATACTGGCTTTATCTCAGTGGTCTGGAACTGACCCACAATATCTCTGGGGTATATCTGTACCAATGTTGATTCCTTAGTTGAAACAAATGTACCATACTAAAGTAAGATGTTAAAATAGGGGAAATAGGTGAAGAGTATACAGGAATGCTCTATACTAGCTTTGAAATGTTTCCATAAGTCTACAGCTATTCTAAAATTAAAAGCTTGTTTTAAAAATCTCAGTAGATAGTTTTAACAGCAAATGGGACATACCAGAAGAAAAGATGAGTACCAGGGACAGTAGCTCAGACTTATAATCTCAGCACTTTGTGGGGGCCTAGATGGGAGGATCACTTGAGCCTAGAAGCTCAAGACAACATGGCAAGATCCCACCTCTACAGAAAACTTAAAAATTATCCAGGCATAGTGACATATGCCTGTAGTCCCAGCTACTCAGGAGGCTGAAGTGGAAGGATCTCTTGAGCCCAGGAAGCTGAGGTTGCAGTGAGCAGTGATAGTGCCACTGCACTCTAGCCTGGGAAACAGAGTGAGACACTGTCTCAAAATAAAAATTTAAAAAAAAAAAAAAAGGAAAAGACTAGAAACTAAAGATGAATTAACAGAAAATATCTCATTGAAGGTCAGAGAGAAAAACAATGTAAACTACAAAAGAAAAAAAGTCCTAACAAGTATATGGAACACAATGGAAACAAAAGCATTGAACACAAGTATAACAAGTGTACCAGGAGGAGAGGAGAGACAGAATAGAACAAAAATTTTATATATAAACAGATAATGGCAAAGAATTTTCCAATACTGATAAAAGACACCAACCCACAGATTTAAGAATCTCTACAAACCTCAGGCAACAAAAAAACAAAGAAAACTTCTCCTCAGCACCTCACTCTAAGGCTACTGAAAATCAAAAGATAAAAAGAAAAACTTAAAAGCAGCCAGAAGTTAAAAATTCCATTATTTTCAAAGAAGCAACAATAAGGTTGACTGCTTTCTTCACAACAAAAACAAGAAAAGCTAAAAAATAACGAAATGACACCTTTAAATTACGGAAAATAAATTAATGTCTATCTAAAATTCTATATCCAGCAAAACATATGCTTCAAAAGCGAAGAAAAAAATAGAACATTTTCAGACCAAAAAAAAAAGGAGAAGGAAAATTGTTGACAGTAGACAAGCACTTTAAATTTTTTTTTTTTCAAAAAGGAAACTAAGCATACTCACAAAGCCCTTAAAGTTGATATGCACTTATACTTATTGATGTGAAGAGGTTCCTGACATGCTGCTGAGTGTAAACAAAATATAAATAATACCATTTATATGAAACTGTCACTAAAGATTTGCAGTGATTACATACGTACTGCTTAATATGAGATTATTTTTATTTTAGCCAAACCATCATATTTACTGGAATTTGGAGCAATAAATGTATATCGTTTTTTGCTGTTCCCAAAAGTATTTTAAAACATGAACACATTCCTGATACAATGTCAAATGAAAAACACAGATTAAAATATGTGTGTGTGTGTGTGTCTGTATGGTGGATGATATATATATAAATTTATATCCATTGCATAAGTAGAAGAAAAAATACAAAAATATCAACAATGCCATGTCAGGGTTTTCAAATTATGAGCAATTACTACCTTGTTTACATTTTAGTATGCTTTCCACATTATATATAATAAGTAAATATTACTTGCTTTTTTTTTGCCCCTAGATTTGGAGCCTTGCTCTATTGTCCAGACTGGAGTCCAGTGGCACCACCACAGTTCCCTGCAGCCTCAAATTCCTGGGCTCAATCAATCCTCCTGCCTCAGTCTCCCAAGCAGCTGAGACTACAGGCACATGCCACCATGCCTGGCTAAGTTTTATCAATTTTTTTGTGTGTAGAGATGGAATCTTATTATGTTGCCCAAGCTGGCCTTGAACTCTGACCTCAAGCAACCCTCCTGCCTCAGCCTCCTAAGTTACCAGTATTATAGGCATGAGCCACCACTCCCAGCTACTTTCGGTTTTCTTACTGTAATTTTTTTCTTTATTTGTTTTCTCATTGCTTTCCTTATTTTGTTATATTTTTCTGTTTTTTCATCTTTTAATTTTTTAATTTTTATAAAAACCCAAAGTCACCTTAAAAGTCATTATCACAGTAACTACACTAATATTGTTACATCAAACTGCTTAATTTTCAGCACTGAATTGCAACATGGCTTTTGAAAGCCAGCTCTATTAAGCAAAAAATTCCCTAAGCTATGGTTGTAAGGCAAGGCAACTACTGCAATAACACCTTTTTCATTATCAACATAGTTTGTTTTTAAAAACAAAAATATTTGGGCCCAGGCACAGAGGCTGATGCCTGTAATATCCCAACACTTTGGGGGTCCAAGGTAGGAGGAGGATGGCTTGCAGCCAGGAGCCTAAGACTAGCCTCAGCAACACAGGAGACCCCCATCTCTACAAAAAATAAAATCATTAGGCAGGTGTGGTGCCATGCACCTGTAGCCCCAGCTTCTCAGGAGGCTGAGGTGGAAGGATCACTGAAGCCCAGAAGATCAAGGCTGCAGTGAGCCACAATGGCACCAGTGCACTCCAGCCTGGGCAGCAAAGTAAGACTGTCTCTCTTTAAAAAAAAAAAAAAAAATCATCAAAAACTGTTTTTAGCAAAATAGTTTATATGGGAGTTATCCATATAGCTTGATTTTTTTTTTTTTAATTTTTTTTGAGACAGAGTCTTGCTCTGTCTCCCACGCTGGAGTGCAGCGGCATCCTCTCGGCTCACTGCAACCTCTGCCTCCTGGGTTCAAGCAATTCTCTGCCTCAGCCTCCTGAGTAGCTGGATTACAGGCGCCTGCCACCATGCCTGGCTAATTTTTGGATTTTCAGTACAGATGGGGTTTCACCATCTTGGCCAAGCTGGTCTTGAACTCCTGACTTCATGATCCACCCACATCAGCCTCCCAAAATGCTGGGATTACAGGCGTGAGCCACCTTGTCTGGCCTATATAGCTTGATTTTAAAACAGAATATTGTTCTCACTTATTACACTCCTATACACTAGGTATTTTACAGACACATTATCTTTAATTTTCAAAGCACCAATGCAATCTAAGTATAACTGCCTGCATTTTAAAAATATATACAATTTCTTCCAATTGCTACGAACTTGAAAGTTAAGCATTTGAAAAACAAGACCTGAAAAAGGTAACATTTGCTGATATAAATGGTTTGCAATAACTACATGCCACACATTGTACAGAATATTTCATATTACCTAATTTTTCCTTATAAGAATCCTGTAAATAGTTGTCCTTATCCTCAGCTTACATGAGGAAATTAAAGCTCAGCTAATAAGTCTCACAGCTGAAATTAAAATCATAAAGTGATTCTGGATTCCATGCTCTTTGCCATAATATCAATTTGTTATAGAAACTTTCTAATATATATTCCTAATAGATTTTAACAAGTAATAATTATTCTGGTGAACATAGTCAATAACAGCAGTTGGTAAATCACATTATTTTCAGTATTTCAAAATTCACAAAAAGAACAAGCTGAAAGACTGTCTATGGCTTAGCAGAGTCCATTGCCACTACTGCAGATATAGTCAAGCATGTGTCATATTGCTATTGACTGAAGGGTATCTTCTAGCAGCATCTGTGAATGCCATGAATAGAAAAAAATACTACTACTACTGTCAAGAATAATTACTTCATTAATTCAATTCATATACTATCAAAATCTACCAAATTTGAAAACAATGCCCCACACACATACACACACATTTTCCCCACTTACCTAATGACCTCCAGACTGAAATGGTTGCTTCCTCCAAGAGTTTCAACTCAGTACTAGAGAGACAGAAGAATAAAGGTAATTAATGACTATAATACTAAATATGTACACACTAATCAGTTAAAGAAATAAAGATAAGAAAAGATAAGATAAACATAAAGATAAGAAAAATAATTTAGAGGAAAAATATGGTACACAGTAGTGAACAATAAGATCAGCAAAAAAAAAAAAAAAAAAAAACAGTTAGGCTTCAATTTTCAATATAATTAGGAAATTTACTGTAATTCTAAATATGAGACTCCTAAAGAGAAGAGCTTGGGGCACCCTGCCTTTCAGGCATTGAGGCAGCGGGGAGACTTAGCAAAATTCAAGAAAGGCACTCCAAAGTAGACAGCGCAAGGCAGGGGCCCTGTGTGCCCGATTCTAAAGGCAGTAGTAATTATAGTTTAGAAAGATGCTATTATTTTTGGGAAATACATGCAGTGTCATGATTTGTGCAATACTTTCAAAAAGTTCTACAAAAAAAAAGGAAAATTAAGAAATAAGGCAAGAAAAGAGAGATGATACATATATGTTTTGATGGTTTATAAATATGTAGAAAAAAGATACAAATATTCAAACATATAGAAACAGATACAGAGACAGACTCAAACTGACACAGAGAAAAGAGGCACAGACAGACAGAGACAGAAATAAAGCTTAGAAGAAAATATGTTTCTTGAGATTGCATTTGACAACAATTTCTTGGATGTGACACCAAAAAGCACAGGTATCAACAGAAAAAAACAGACATGCTGGACTTTACCAAAATTAAAAACTTCCATGCGTCAAAGGATACTATCTACAGAGTGAAAGTCAACCCACAGAATGGAAAACAATATTTGTAAATCACATATCTGATAAGAGACTGATATCCAGAATATACTTTTAAAACTCCTACAACTCAACAACAACAAAAACCAAACAACCCAATTTTAAAATGAACCAATGACTTAAATAGCCATTTTCCAAAGAGGATATAGAAATGGCCAATAAGTACATGAAAACATGCTCAATATCACTAGTCATTAGTGAAACACTAACACCAGAGTGAGATACTACTCCATACCCATTGGGATGGCTTTTATTTAAAAAAAAAAAAAAAGGCCAGGCAAGGTGGGCTCACACCTGTAATCCCAGCACTTTGGGAGGCTGAGGAGGGCAGATCACTTGAGGTCAGGAGTTCAAGACCAGCCTGGCCAATATGGTGAAACCCATCTCTACTAAAAACACAAAAATTAGCCAGGCATGGTGGTACACACCTGTGATCCCAGCTACTCGGGAGGCTGCGGCAGGAGAATCGCTTGAACCCAGGAGGTGGAGTTTGCAGTGAGCCAAGATCGTCCCACAGCACTCCAACCTGGGAGACAGAGTCAGACTCCATTTCAAAAAAAAAGAGGAGGAGGAAGAGGAAAGAGGAAGAGGAGGGAAGGAGGGAAGGAGGGATGAAGGAAAAAAAACAGAAAGTAACAAGTGTTAGCAAGAATGTAGAGAAATTAGGACCCTTGTACACTGATGGTACGTAAAATGATGCAGCCACTATGGCAAAAAATATAGCAGTTCCTCAAAAAATTAAACATAAAATTACCATACGATCCAGCAGTTCTACTTCCGGGTAGATACCCAAAAGAAGTGAAAGCAGGATCTTGAAGAGATAGTTGTACACTCATGTTCATAGCAGCTCCATTAATAGTAGTCAAGAGGTAGAAGTAACCCACATGTCTACCAACAGATAGATGGATAAATGAAATGTACATACACACAATGGAATATTATTTAGCCTTAAGAAATAGGGAATTTTGCCAGGCGCGGTGGCTCATGCCTGTAATCCCAGCACTTTGGGAGGCCGAGGCGGGCGGATCACCTGAAGTCGGGAGTTCAAGACCAGCCTGACCAACATGGAGAAACCCCATCTCTACTAAAAATACAAAATTAGCCGGGCGTGGTGGTGCATGCCCATAATTCCAGCTACTCAGGAGGCTGAGGCAGGAGAATCTCTTGAATGCGGGAGGCAGAGGTTGCGGTGAGCCGAGATGGCACCATTGCACTCCAGCCTAAGCAACAAGAGTGAAACTCCATCTCAAAAGAAAATAATAATAACAAAAATAAATAAATAAAACACGGAATTTCAATATATGCTACAACATGAATGAACCTTGAAGACATTATGCTAAGTGAAATAAGCCAGCCACAAAAAGATAAATATTGTATGATTCCTCTTATATGAGGCTCCTAGGGGAGTTAAACTCGCAGAGAAAAACCAAGAAGGTGGTTGCCAGGGGCTGGGGATGGGAAAATAGGGAACTAGTGTTTAGTCAGTATAGAGTTTAAGTTTGCCAAGATTAAAAAGTTTTAGAGATGGATGGTGTTAATGGTTGCACAACAATGTGAATATACTTAATGCCACAGAACTATACACTTTAAAATGGTTAAAATCATTTTACATTGTGTATATTTCGCCACAATTTTTTTAAGTGCATTCCAACTCCAGTTCAACTACTTACTAGATAGTTGACCTTGGGCTGGTTTGTTAAATCTTTATGTCTTAATTTCTTCATATATAAAACAGAAATAGTAACAGTACCTTCATAAGGTTATTATGATTAAATTATACAGTATCGATAAAGTGCTTAGAACAATGCCTGACACAAAGTAAATCCTCAATAAATGATAGACTCTGTTCCATTTGTCTGTGTTTGTTTTTATGCCAGTACCATGCTGTTATGGTTACTATTGCTTTGTAGTATATTTTGAAATCAGGTAATGTAATGTCTCCAGATTTGCTCTTTTTGCTCAAGATTGCTTTGGCTATTCTGGGTCTTCTGTGTTGCCACAGAAATTTTAGAACTTTTTTTCTATTTCTGTGAAAAATATCACTGGTATTTTGATAGGGATTGCATTGAATCTATAGATCACTTTAGATAGCATAGACATTTTAACAATATTTATTCTTCTGATACATAACAAGGGATATTCTTTGCATTTATTTATGTCTTCTTCAATGTTTTTCATCAATATCTTATAGTTTACATTGCACAGATCTTTACCTCCTCAGTTAAATTTATTGCTAGGTGTTTTTTTAATAGCTATTGAAAATGTATTACCTTATTTCTTTTTTCGATAGTTCAACAGAATAAAGAACCCAGAAATAAATCCATACACGATTTTTGACAAAGGCATCAAGAACACACATTGGGGAAAGAACAATCTCTTCAATAAATGGTACTGAGTAAACTGAATACTCACATGCAGAAAAATGAAACTAGACCCCTATCTCTAACCATTTACAAAAATCAACTTAAAATACAGACTTAAACGTACAACCTGAAACCATGAAACTACTTGAAGAACACTTAGGTGAAATGCTGCAGGACATGGGTCTGGGCAAGGACTTGCTGGACAAGACCTCAAAAGCACAGAGCACAAAAGCAAAAATAGACAAATAGGGTTATATCAAACTAAAAAGCTTCTGCACAGCAAAGGAAACAACAAAGTGAATAGACAATCCAAAGAAAAGGAGAAAATATTTGCAAACTATGCATCTGACAAGGGACTCATCCAGGATACACAAGGAACTCAACAGAAAAAAAAAAATCCAATTTAAAAATGAACAGAAGACCTAAATAGACACCCCTCAAAAGAAGACATACAAGACCGGGTGCAGTGGCTCACATCTGTAATCCCAGCACTCTGGGAGGCTAAGGCAGGAGGATCACCTGAGGTCGGGAGTTTGAGACCTGCCTGACCAACATGGAGAAACCCCATCTCTACTAAAAATACAAAATTAGCCATGCATGGTGGCGCATGCCTGTAATCCCAGCTACTGGGGAGGCTGAGGCAGGAGAATCGCTTGAGCCCAGGAGGCAGAGGTTGCGGTGAGCCAAGATCGTGCCATTATACTCCAGCCTGGGCAACAAGAGCGAAATTCCATCTCAAAAAAAAAAAAAAGACATACAAATGGCAACAGGTATATGAAAAATATGCTCATCACCACTAATCACCAGGGAAAAGCAAATCAAAACCACAATGAGATATCACATCACCCAGTTAGAATGGCTATTATTAAAAAGACAAAAAATTACAAACGTTGGCAAGGATGCAGAGAAAGGGAAACTCTTATACAATGTTGGTAGGTGCTATAATTTGGATGTTTGATCCCTATAAACCTCATATTGAAATCTGATCCCCAATGTTAGAGATGGGGCCTAATGGGAGGTGTCTGGGTTATAGGGGCAGATCCCTTATGAACAGATTGATACCCTCCCTCAGAAGTGAATCACTTCTCACTCTATTAGTTCCCATTAGTACTGGTTGTGAAAAAGAGCCTGGCATCTCCCCACCCCATTGTTCCCTTTCTCATCATATGTTCTCTGTACACACCAGCTCCCCTTCACCTTCTGCCATGAGTGGAAGCAGCCTGAGACCCTCATCAGATGCAGATGCTGCTACCAGCCTGCAGAAGTGTGAGCCAAATAAACCTCTTTTCTTTATAAATTATCCAGCCTCAGGTGTTCCTTTATAGCAACACAAAACAGACCAAGGCACTGGGGAAGTAAATTAGTACAGCCATTAAGGACAACAGTAGGGAGGTTTTTCAACAAATTAAAAATAGAACTACCATATAATCCAATAATCTGACTACTGGGTATAAACATTGAGTATCCCTCACCCAAAATGCTTGGGACCAGAAGCATTTCTGATTTCAGATTTTTTTTCCCCGATTTTGAAATATTTGCATTATAGCTGAGCATCCCTAATCCAAAAACCCAAAATCCAAAATAGTGCAATGAGTATTATTCTCTAAGCATCATGTCAGTGCTCAAAAAGTTTTGGATTTTGGAGCATTCTGGATTTTAGATTTTTGGATTAGGGATACTCAACTTCTATATCCAAAAGAAACAAAATCAGTATGTCAAAGAGATATCTGCACTCCCATGTTTACTGCAGCACTATTCACAATGGCCAAGATACAGAATCAACCTAAGTATCCATCGATGGATGAATTTTTTTTAAATGA